CCTCAAGGTGGCGCTCACGGCCCACAATTGGGCCGTGGACCATGGGTTAAGAATCTCTGGACTATACTACCTGATTACACAACAGCAAATACTGTATTCTAAGGAGAATGTTTTGTTTTTTTAGTTTGTAGTTTTTGTTTTGATATTTGGGTAATTGGTTAATTGTTTTTACATATTTATGTTTTTWACTAAATTGCTTGTTATTGTTTATTAGAACATGTTTGATTATATCAACCTGTCCAGAGATGCAGGTGGAAATTAGCCTTCTTTGCTATAACCTGGTAYCATACATCTGTCCTTGTAAAAGGTTAATGAAATGTTGTACATGTCTCTGTATAAACAAACAAACAAACAAACAAACAAACAAACAAACAAACAAACAAACTAAAACCTATTAAGTCTGTCTTTAAAAAGACAATCAAGGTTTCAGACAACCTTTTCTTCATCAGTACATGTGAGATGTCAGACTTTGAAAATGACCAAATGTTCAGTGATGCCAGTCTTGTTTTTAGACTTTTAACTGGACTGGCTCTTTTACCATCACCTGTTTTATCCAGAAGTTCTGTATAAAACCAGAATGAACACCAGATCTGAGACYAGAAGGACTGTAGAGCAGAATTTCTGAATTCTGACACATTTATATTGCTGTAAAATACAGAAATATTGATTAATATTGTTATTGTGTTCTGTTGTACAGATGGTCCGGTGGACTACAGTCACCTGCCGGAGTCGTTGCGTTACATTAAAAGGAACCAAGGAGCTCTGAAATGGAGAAATGTCTTCGTCAGAACCAACAAACTCACAGTGTTCAACGCAAACAGAAACTTCTGGAGGAACCTGCTGTATCACATGCCTGCAGTACCTGTGAGACGTCAGACTGGTGCCTGAACAGACAATTACTTTTTATTTATTTGGACCGGATCCAACAAGATGGTTTGGTTTTCAAAGGAACATTGGAAAACTTTCCTAATATTTAAATGCAGACCCAGTCTTTAAGCTGACGTTATTTATCACCTGGAAGCCTCATCAGAAGGACTTTAATGAAGCAAACAGTGTTGACTGTTTGGCTCATCAGCATTGTTGAAATTTTACTAAATGTCCACAGATAATGGAAACACAGTCAACACATTTCTTTTTTTCAGTGTAAAAACCATAAAAACATATTCAGTGTTTTAACCAGTGSTGGATGCTGGTCTTTCAACAACAGGAAGCTCAGTTTGGGCCTACATAATAAAATGTGTGGGTTATAAATTATACCCTCTGTTCCTTTTCAACAAAATGATCTGTGATCCTGTCATAGTTTATAGTATTTATTCATTTCATTTAAAAAAACAAAACATTACATAAAACAAAACAATACAAATAAAATTAAAGGCAGCAGCAGAAGAAAAAAATCTTGATATCTGCTCCTATTTACAAAAAAATATTAATTTCAAACAATAATAAACAAATNCAAAAATCAACTCATGAAATTGTTTAATTTGTATTTTTATGAGTCACTGTTTGAGGATTTCTTTAACAAATTTGCTTTGATGATTTTTTTAAGGATTTAATTGATTCAGTGCTTTTATAATCATCTTCCAGATTATTCTGTAGTGTTTTACAGCAGCCAGCTCTGTTATACCAGGACAGCTGAAAACACCTGTTATTTCCCCACTGTGGATCAATAAAAAGTTTTTTTTATCTTACTTTTCCCACGTTTTACACCAAATTAATGTGAGGAGTTGATCAGCCCTGCTGTTTAACTCTAAGTTTTCTCTGTAAACAAGAATATAATGACTTCACCTAACAACATTCAGACTGTCTGACATTATGTGCAGCTTGTTACTGAGAGAAATTATCTGCACTAATAATCCTAATCCAAGTTAGCTAGTTTTGAGTTGGACAAAAAGTTTGTATTTGTCAATTTAACAACAAATGGAGGTCATATTTAATTACCTTTTTCATACTTTCTTGTTCAGGTTTACATTTAAATAAACCCAGTTCTCATTTGACAAACAGACTTCCTGAATATTTATTGTTCCCAAACGATAATGAGTTTTTCTTTTCATGGTGAATAAATCTTTGATCAGTAGAACTGATGGGTCTGTCTCAAACACCTTCTTCCACAGTACTGCTGACCCAGCTGTTGCTGAAATTTGGTTCAAGAGTTTTGGTTGAAATTAAACCCATTTTTGATGTCCTGATGCATCTCAGTAATCCAGGTAAAAAATCAAAAAGAAAAAAATTGTATAGGTCCTCTGGAC